TAATGAAGACTTTGTGCTTGCACCTACCACTTTAACTGATGTCGCAGCCGAGCAGTTTGAGATCAAAGCTCACCTTGTCACGATGGTTCAACATAACAATTTTGGAGGTTCTGCATCCAAGGACGCCAGTATGCACTTGCACACTTTCACAGAATTATGTGCTATGACACATATAAAAGACTCGAACCTGACGCTTTGAAGTTGCACCTATTTCCTTTCTCTTCGCATCTAACCGCCAGCTACACACTGGCTTCGCATGGTTGCACCTTCCAGCGGCGGCGGCAGAAACCCTTCCATGGCGCATGCGGGGTGCGTCGCCGTAGTGGGAGGGGGAAATGTAAAAGTGGCAAGGGAGCTTAGTTTCCAACCGGCTAGCCTTTTTTTCAAAGACAACTGGCTATCCTTAATCCACTGATGTGACGATTGTTGCATACATTTTTTTAGGATGATTGATGCATATAATTACGGAAATGCTAAAAACTGACGTCAAATTTTTAGGTGTCGCAAAACGAACTTTTTTCATGGCAATTTATGTTGACGCGAGTATGTTAAATTTAGTTTGTAAGCACGTCGATTTTCTAACAAGAAATAAACCAAGACGGATTTATTATGCTCACCAACTAAATTGTCATTCTAGTCAAACATAATTTGCCATGAAAAATATTTTATTTGCCATGTCTAAAAAATTCACTAGATATTAATTATGCATCTATATATCCGTGTGGAGCGAAAAGGAAAAGGCTACTCCTAAGGTATTATCAACTCTCGGAGGCTTAGATACCCTCCAATCCTTGAAAGCGCTTTTGTGGATTTTGTAATCAATTTTCAACTGGCCACACATGACAGACACCGCTGCTTGCCTGCCTATATAGACATAGGGAGCTGGTGCTGGAAGGCAGAGGCAAGCTAGCTTCTTCCATGGCTGCCGTTAGAGATGAATCGGACTACGACAGTAGCCGTCCGTCGTCGCTCACGGCGCTGGGCTCCCGCCGGAGCTGGATCAGCGACATTGGCAGCTCCAGCTCGGTCTCTGGCGGCGGCGAGACCCCCTGCCGCCACAGCAAGCCCCACAAGGCCAACCATGCCGAGTGGGAGGCCATCGCGCGCGTCCGCGCAGCCGCCGCCGGCGGCAGCGTCGGGCTGGACCACTTCCGCCTCGTGCGGCGCCTCGGCAGCGGCGACCTCGGAAACGTCTACCTGTGCGAGCTCCGTGAGCCGCCGCACCGGCCGTCGTCGTCCGGGCGCCTCTACTACGCCATGAAGGTGGTGGACAAGGACGCGCTGGCGTTCCGCAAGAAGCTCCGGCGCGCGGAGGTGGAGCGGGATATCCTCCGCGCCCTCGACCACCCCTTCCTGCCCACGCTGTACGCCGACTTCGAGGCGTCGCACTACGCCTGCCTCGTCATGGAGTTCTGCCCCGGCGGCGACCTCCACGTCGCCCGGCAGCGGCAGCCCGGCCGCCGGTTCAGCGTCGCCTCCGCGAGGTATCAATATCATTATCAATCCCACCGTTCAACTTCCATGCATGCACTGTGCCACACATTCACATTGATCCGAATATCCCATGGCCTGAAGGTTACGCGTGGGATGAAAAGCTGAGATTCTCTCTGTTTCAGGGTCAAGCTTTGTCTTCGTGTCACTCCTTTTTTAAAGCATGGCACCACTTTGAGCTAGTGTAGTGTAGTAATCTTCTTCCCATGTGCAATGTGCATATGCATTTGCATTGGTGCTTTATTTCAGAGTATTTCATAGACACTTTTTGTCTCGCCGTGCATGCCTATCTAAGCAGATCTTTTGAGAAAGAACCCACTTGGGCTAATGATTTGAGCTGCGCGCGCATGCATGCATGGCGACATGCATATTATCTGGCTGAGCTGATAGAGATCGATCGCCGAATAATGAACGGCAGATTCTACGCGGCGGAGACGGTGCTGGCGCTGGAGTACCTGCACATGATGGGGGTGGTGTACCGGGACCTCAAGCCGGAGAACGTCCTGGTGCGCGCCGACGGCCACATCATGCTCTCCGACTTCGACCTCTCCCTCAAGTGCGACGACGTCGTCCCCAAGTTCCTCCGCCAACCGAGAGGGGACGGCGCCGGCGCCAACCCGAGCTCGACCAATGGTCACTCCTCGTCGTGCGTCCCGCCGATCCAGCCGGTGCTGTCATGCCTATTCAACGGTGTAACACGCAAGCGCCTGCTGCCGATGCCCGGCGCGGCGGCCGTGGACGCCGACGCCGCCGAGCATTCCGAGCCCGAACAGACGTCTGAGTCTGACCCTGCAGAGGTGGTGGTGGAGCCTGTGGCGGCCCGGTCTAGGTCTTTCGTGGGCACGCACGAGTACCTGGCGCCGGAGGTGATCTCCGGACAGGGCCACGGCAGCGCGGTGGACTGGTGGACGCTGGGAGTGTTCATGTACGAGATGGTGTACGGCCAGACGCCGTTCAAGGGGGCGACCAACGAGGAGACGCTCGCCAACATCGTCGGCAAGCGGCCCGTGGCCTTCCCGCGGGTCCCGTCGTCGGCGAGCTGCGGCGAGCGGGAGGAGCTGCTCCGGGCGCAGGACCTCATGGCCCGGCTCCTGGCGAAGTGCCCCGGGAAGCGACTGGGGAGCTGCACGGGGTCAGGCGAGGTGAAGCGGCACGCGTTCTTCCGCGGTGTGAACTGGGCGCTCGTCAGGTCCGTCCGACCGCCGGAGGTGCCCGTGCCGGTGGCAAGGAGCAAGGCGAAGACGATGAGCAGGAAGGAGCGGCAGGAGCCGTACAAGCAACAACATGAGGACCATTTCGACTACTTTTGAGTTGACACCTTGTATTCTAGACTAGACGGGCAGACGGGATTAAGCGGTGTACATAAAGTTGGTAGTGATTCCATAACGAAATATTAGAGCATCTTCACTCGGTTCGGCCCCCAGCACACCCGGCCGAATGCGTTTTCGCGTTTGCGCCGGTCGTTTTTTTTGTCCCAGCCGGGCCTTCAGGTTTCGGCCCTCAAACGCCCATAAATTCAAATTTGTCTTTCTTGTTATCAAAAAAATTCCACAAGTTCAGCGATCATCATGCAACAGTTCGGCGATTACCATACTACAGTTCGGCTATCAAACAAACACGAAAGTTCGGCGATCAAAAGGAAAGACGCGTAGACAAAGAAACGCATCAAACGATGGGCTCCTCTGGCGTGGAACTGGTCAGGAACGGCGTGGGATTGGCCGGGGTCGGCGTGGATGCAGGCATGCTTGGCGTCGGTGTGGCTTCTGTGCTCGGGCTGGCGGTCGGCGTCGGCACCGCTTCGTCGCTCAGGCTGGGCGTCAACGTTGTTATCGGCGTGGTGTTGGCCCAGGCATCTGGTTCAAGATGAGGCCGCGCTCCACCAGGTACTACGCCTTGACCTGCTCGTCCATCATCGACATGTCTACCGCCATCAAGAACGCCAGGTCGGTGTTCCTCTTCTTCACGGCGACGTTGGTCCTGAGAAGGTTGAGCTTCATGTCCTACTTCGTCATCAACGCCGACCACCGTGCGTCGGATTTCTCCTCCCTCTTTGCGGCGTTGTTCTTGGCATCGGCGATGCACTGCTCGATCGACGATTGAAGCCGTTCGGCAGCAAGTGCCGCGTCCCTCGCCGTCTTGGCTCTTTTGTTGCCATCACAGCGCCCATCCGCCGCCCTCGGGGCGGGCGCGTCCGGCTTGTACGTCTCCTTGGCCTTGCGAGGGTGAGCCGGACCGCCCTCCACTTCTCGCACGACTCGATTTGGAAGAACACGTGAAGGAACTTGAACTCTTGGTCGTTGTTGTCCTGGCGATACATGTTGAACATCTGAACCATCTTCGCAGCCGAAGAACAAGTGTCGACGACGTACACAACGAAAGAAGTGAGCCGGCGGCTGGACATATCTGACCCTCGACGTTGGCGCCGCTTTCCGGACGAGCCACGGTCTTCTCGACAATCCCATGCCATTTGTTGCAGGCCGCCCGGATGATCACCCAATGGTTCAGCATGGCCTTGTCGCCGCGTTCCATGTGAATGGTGGCAAAGTAGGGGTCGACCACCTTGCGCTCATCGAGCGCCGACTTGATCCGTCTCCAGTACGTGTCGACATTCTGATTCAAGCCGGTGATCGGGCCGATGCTGATGGTCTTCCATGCTTCGGCAAGGCACTCGTCTTTCTTGGACGTCCACTTAACGCACGGCTCGCCCGGCCTGGCACTGGCCACCCGCCTCTTCTTTCTCCCTTTCATCGCCGGCGCCGGCTCCATCTCCTCCTCAGCCTCTTCTTCCTCCTCCCCGTCCTCAGCGTCGTCAAGCTCTTCGTCCATGTTGACGACGGTGTCCATTGTTTTGTCCTGCGCGTGGAACCCAGGGTAGGAGGCGGCGGCGACCGAGCCACTCGTGATGATCTCGTCCATGTTGGCGTCGATCGCGTCGGGGTTGCCGATCTATGGCGGCGCCGAGGCGTGTGCGAAGAGTAGGGCGCCCCGGCGCAGAGGTGGCGTAGGCGAGGCTCAGTACGCCGGCGGCGAGTAGTTTACTGGGTATGGATGTCGGCGAACGCGGGGGAGGGGGCGCGCTGGTCAGGGTTCAGGCCGGAGACAGAGGCACGTGGCGCCGCGCCATGCGGGAAGGTGGTGTTGGTGTTGAAACCACCGTGCGCGTCGCCGTCGGAGTAGCCAGGGTGCGTACCCCCAGGGCGGTGGCGGCAGCGAGAAGTTGGCCGGCGACGCGACGCTCTGTTGGCTCCCCCACGTAGTTTGCGGGCAGTGGCCGGGCGGATTCATCATCCCCGCGTGAGACGTCTCTGCCTGCTCCGCCGCCATCGCGTCCCTGGCTTTCTTGGCGATGAGCCTGTTCCGCCGGTCGGTGGTGACAGTCCCCCAGCGCTGAACCTCCACCCTCCACTCGGCGTTGGACACGCCCGGTGGTCTTGCCACCGGTGCCCTCGGCTTCCTCTGCTTCGGCTGGATGGAAACGGCAGCGGCAGCGGGGCGAGGGGCCGAATACTTCTTCGGCGGTATGGCGACGGGATGGCCGAGAGCAGGAGGAGAATGGCGGGAGCGGTGGGACAGAAGGGGGAAGCAATGAGAAAATGAAGAGAAGGGGGGCGGCGAGAATAGGCCTATCTGTCGCCGACAGAGCGGGCCTACACGTCTTTTCGCTTCGGCCGGAGCCCCCCGAGGGACTGGGTTCGGCTCGGGTTCATTTCTGGCTGACAGGAACAAGGTTGCCGGTGCGGGGTACGAGACGGGGGTTGGTCGACGGCGTGGACGAGAACAGAGCTATAACAGACTCGAATGATTTTTCTGTTAAGCGGATTGAACAGAATGACGTCGAATTGAAAACCAGCTAGCTGAAAAATTGCAAGGATGCTCTTTATCCCTCGTCCCGTGGCCGGCAACCTCCTAGGATGATGCTAGCTGAGAAGTCATGTTAGGTCAACTCTAGTACAATGGGTTCATATTTCAAGAACGAATAGTGATCAGCACTGTCCATGCTCCCTCCCCTTCCACGATTTCTGCCGTGCCTATTTGCCCACGGTTATCGCCGCTACCAGATCAAGCACATATTTTAGTGAACAAACTGCTCCTCTCGGTGCAGTGCAAAGTTCAGTGCTACAGAGAGTGCAATGGCGGGGCCCTGCCTGCCCGCCTTCCTGCGGGGTGGTGGTGCCGGCTCTCATGGCGTCCTCGCGCACGCGCGTTTTGTCCCGGTTACCCGTGCGCGGCACTGGCGCCCCACCCACCAGCTTCCATCGCGCGCACTCACGGACTCACCCTCACCCTCACCCTGACACACACACGCACAGTCGCTCCGTCGCTCGCCTCCCCTCGCCGATCGATAGATCGATGCAGGCTTTGCCCCGCGCCAATCGCCGTCCGCTCCGTCCCGGAAGAGGAGACCTTGGCCGGCCTGCATGATTACCGGATCTGCTCGCCGATATCGCGACATCATGGCGGCACTGTTCACCCACACATGCATGCCCAGACCCATTTCTTCGCACCGCAGCTCCTCTCCTCGGTCCGCTCGCTGATCGTGCATCCATCCATTTGCATGTACGCTCGACCAGCTGCCGCCGAGCTAGCCTGGCCTGCGTGACCGTCCCTGTGCAACCACACGTCCTCGCACCGGCCGGACACCGGAGTTGTGCGGCCTGCATGTGCATCATGAGCGGCATGTCAGTGTGATGTACTACATCCCTCCTGGTTTTAGTTTACTCGTCCCTTTGTATTTTATGTCAAAGTTTGATCTTAAATTTAACTAACAAAACGTTAATGCATGTCACAAAATATAATATAATTAGAAACTATGTTCAAATACAAATTCAACAATATAGTTTTTGTGACATGCATTAATATTTTGTTAGTTAAATCTATAATCAAAATTTGGCACAAAACGCAAAAGGAACTTATAAACCAGGCCCGGGGTAGTACCGATGATACTTCTTTTTTTCGGGCAAACTTGTGCCCTACATGGAAGGCCACCGCACTCATGTTAAACTGCAAATTGGGCCAAGACTTAGAAGATTACAAGATCAACACTGCATATTACGGACGCGTCTGTGCCACCTTATGGCATTTCCTATTTGACGCCTTCGGCGCTCGCTAATGTGCATTTTGTTAAGTGACGCTGAGGACGCTCTTACCTGGGTCGGCCCATACCCATTTTAATGTTTGTAGACTCCGAAAAAGTATGCACGCGACCAGCTTCGAACACCAAACCTCAGCGTTTGAAAGGCAACGCACAACCTGTAGGCTATCCCACCCGATTGTGAAACAATTCTTTTTTTATTTCCTTCTGTTTCTTTCCTTAGTTAGTGTCTTTATATTTCCCATTTTCCTTTTATGTTTTATGTTTTCCCTTTTTCCTAATTTTTCCAAATGCGTGACCTTTTTTCAAAATCAATAAACATTTTGAAATTTTCTTCAAAATTGATGATTTTTTCCAATTTCATGAACTTTTTCCAAAATTGATGATTTTTTTAGTATTTTCTGATTTTTTTCCAAAATCAATGATCCTTTTTTCAAAATTGATTAACCTTTTCACAATTTGTGTTTTTTTCTAAATCGATGAACACCTACAAATTTTTATGATTTTTTTTCAAAACGACGAACTTTTTCGAAATATGTGTGCACTTTTTTCAAAGTTGATGAACTTTTTTCAAAATTGATGAACATTTCTTCAATTGTTATGATCTTCTTTCCCAAATTTATGATTTTTTTTCAAAATTAATGATTTTTTTCGAACTCGATAAACTTTTTTCAAATTTGATGAACTTTTTGTCATATTTTTTAAAAATTCGATGAACTTTTTTTAAGCTTGTGAATTTTTTCGCATTCATGTTTTTTTTCAAAAGTCAATGATTGATTGGTCAACTGTAGACTGGTCAACCTTGACAAGTCTACAACACTTTTAGAAGGAAGTGCCGAGTGAGTGGCCCACGGGCCGGCCTAATTTTGTGGCTGAGTGAGCGCTACTTCCACGAACCGGCACTTGCAGAGCTGTATAGATTTTTTTTAGGATTAAACCAAGCTTTATTCATCAAAACCGACATGACGTGGGATTCAAATTGGGTCGTGGGGTTGGCCAAACTAGACGTGACACCTCAGACCTAATAAGAGAGTGCTTGGCTAGACTATGCGCTTCCAAATTGGTAACGATGTAATTTTGTTTTCGAAGATCGTACTGCTGAGATGGATTCTGTTTTTTACATTATTTTTGTTTTTTGCTTTCCTGCTCAAGTTTTGTATATATTTCGAAATATTCTAAACATATATATTATAAAAATCACTTCACATAATTTTTTGA